CTGTGCTGTCGCTCCAGCGACTGAGGGGCAGTGGAGAGCCACTCGGGTGAAGGCTCTGCCCGCACGCGGCTTGCTGACAAGTAGGGAGTGAAGGCCTTGGATGGCCCCGACGTTTTGCGCTACAAACCAAAAGTTGCCAAATGGAGCCCACCCCGCTGTGCTGTGGAGGAGAGGCCTGGCAGTTGCTTCCAAGAAGGTTAGAACCAAGAGGCTGTGGTGGCGCAGGTCTGCTCTGACCACGGGGGTCTCGCTGAGTCGGAATCAACCTGCTGGCAGTGAGTGGTTGTATTCTGTGTTGCTGTCGATTGCTGGGCCGCTGACTCTGACTCTGGCCCACGTGACGCAGTGGAGCTGTCCCACAGGGTTGTCTGGGCTGCAATCTTTATTTTCTAATTTTTACTGTGATTTGGGGGAAAGTTCACAGAGCAAATTCGCTTTCCATACAGCAGCTCACATACACTTTGTCTCATGACATTGACTGTAATTTCCCACAATGCAGCAGCTCCCCTCCCCCTTCCTCCCCATAGTGACCTCTTCCCTCCATGCACTCCTGCCCCTGAGCTGTGTCCCGGTGCATACACAGCCCTTCTGTTCTCCCATGACCGATTTCTCCAGGGAGTGTGTCGACCTAATCTAGGCTGTAATAGTTATGGAAGCAGATAGCCAGGTCCTTGTCCCATAGGGCCACCGGGTGGGCTCAACCTGTCAATCTCTCGGTTGGCAGCTGAGTGCTTAACCGTTGTCTACCAGGCTCATTCCGTACTGTGTCAGCAGATGGGAAGCACTGAGGGAAAAGCAAAGCCGAGGAGGAACTGGGGGGACAGGGCATGTGGGGCTGGGGGGTGATGTCAGGAAGCGTAGCCCATGCTACACTGGAGGCTGGCAAGAAGCGAGCTGGGAGAAGTACCTGCACTGGTAGTGGTGGGGGGCAGCCCAGCTTTCACTTGGTTCTAGCCCTGCCCTGTCCAAGCACTGGGTGGATGAAGCTTCTGGTCTCTTTGCGGGCTGAGATGCCCAGTGCGCCAGGGACCACAGTCCGAGTTCACGGGAAGGGAGCCAGGCTCAAAGGAGGCTGGGCCAGGGGGCTGGGGCTGCAAGGAGGGAAGGCTGGCCTTGACCGAGCACATGAATGAGACCAGGAGGTGGCAGGCGGATGCTGGTGGGATGGGGCGTGGCTGCCCCAGGAGGAAGGTACGCAGGTCGACCTGCGCCTGGGCAAGCCCCCGTGGGCCTGGCTGTGGATACTGGGAGAGAAGAGATAGCTACGTTTACGGCCCGACCACGTGGCACCTGGAAGACAGCAGAGCAAGCAGTTGCTATGCAGTCGACTGTGGCTCCTGGTGACCCCCGTGTGCAGAGTGGAGCTGTCCCCCACTTCCAAGGCTGGGGCTTTCCTCCCGAAGTGCCTCCAGGTGGCTTCGAGTTGCCACCCTTTCGGTTCATAGTTGAGCCATAACCGTCAGCACCATGGTGAGGCAGGCAGCTGGCTGCTGACCTGGCCTCTGAGAGCCCCTGGAGGAGAAGGCAGCAGTGGGACGGTCAGCTGGGGAGGCTGGGGGAGGGGCACGTGAGGTGCACTGGCTGGGACTGGGACCCAGGTCTCCCACATGAAGGCGCCTTCTTCCATAGACCCTCGGGCACACACACAAATGGAGTCAGGAGGGAGGAAGAAGCCTGTACGCACTCCTACCTGCCCTTCCTGATCTTTAGCCCAGGGCTGCTGGACTCCCCAGCAGGGGCCAGTGGGACATTGAGAACCACAGGGTTTTCAAGGCTGTCAATCTTCATGGAAGCAAAGCCCAAACCACACCCACTGCCATGGAGTCTGTTCATGGCGCCTCTGGAGGACAGAGTGGAACTGCCCCCACAGGCTTTCCCAGGTTGTCAATCTTCAGGGAAGCAAAGCCCAAGCCAAGCCCACTGCCATGGAGTCTGTATGGACTCATAGTGGCCCTAGAGGACGGAGTCGAATTGCACCACAAAGTCTCCCAGGCTGTCAACGTTACAGGAGCAGATCTCCATGTCTTTCTCCATTGGACGAAGTCCCAAGTCCCAAGAGACACAAACAGTGTTTCTTTGCTATTCGTAAGGTTTTCCCTATGAACCAATGGTACTGAAGGAGGAAGTCAAAGAATTGGCGAAGAACAAGGCTCCGGGAATTGACGGAATGCCCATTGAGATATTTCAACAAATGGATGCCCCATCGGAGGCACTCACTCGGTTATGCCAAGAGATTTGGAAGACAGCTACCTGGCCAACTGACTGGAAGAGATCCATATTTGTACCCATTCCAAAGAAAGGTGATCCCACAGATTGTGGAAATTATAGAACAATATCATTAATATCGCACCCAAGTAAGATCTTACTGAAGATAATTCAGAAACGTTTGCAGCAGTATATTGACAGAGAACTTCCAGAGGTGCAAGCCAGATTCAGAAGAGGACGTGGAACAAGGGATATCATAGCTGTTGTCAGATGGATCTTGGCTCAAGGCAAAGAATACCAGAAAGATGTTTACTTGTGTTTTATTGACTATGTAAAGGCATTTGATTGTGTGGATCATGACAAATTATGGGTAACATTGAGAAGAATGGGAATTCCCGAACACTTGTTTGTACTCATGAGGAATCTGTACCTTGACCAGGAGGCTGTTGTTTGAATGGGACAAGGGGACACTACATGGTTTAAAATCAGCAAGGGAGTGCGTCAGGGTTGTATCCTTTCCCCAATACTTATTCAATCTATATGCTGAGCAAATAATCTGAGAAGCTGGACTATATGAAGAAAAACGTGGCATCAGGATTGGAAGAAGAATCTTTAACAACTTGATGATGCAACTTTGCTTGCTGAAAGTGAGGATGACTTGAGGCACTTACTGATGAAGGTTGAAGAATAGTCTGCAGTATGGATTACGTCTCAATATAAAGAAAACAAAAATCCTTACAACTGGACCAATGAGCAGCATCACAATAAATAGAGAAAAGATTGAGGTTCTCAAAGAATTCACATTGCTTGGTTCTACAATTGATGCCAATGGAGGCAGCAATCAGGACATTAGACGACATGTAGCATTGGGAAAGTCAACTGCGAAGGAACTGTTTCAAGTGCTGAGGAGCAAGGATATCCCCTTGAGGACTAAGGTGCACCTGACACAAGCCATGATATTTCCAATCGCCTGGTATGCATGTGAGAGCTGGACAATGAATAAGGAAGACCGAAGAAGAGTTGATGCTTTTGAGTTGTGGTGCTGGCGGAGAATGCTGAAAGTACCGTGGACTGCTAAAAGAACTAACAGATCTGTCCTGGAGGAAGTGCAGCCAGAATGCTCCTTGGAAGCAAGAATGGCCAGACTTCGTCTCACCTATTTTGGTCATGTTGTCAGAAGGGACCATTCCCTGGAGAAGGATGTCATGCTTGGTAGGGTGGAGGGTCGACGAAAGAGGGGGAGGCCTTCAACGAGATGGATTGACACGGTGGCTGTGATAATGGGCTCAAGTATAGCAGGGATTGTGGGGCTGGCGCAGGATTGGGCAGTGTTTCGTTCTGCTGTGCATGGGGTCGCTATGAGTCGGAGATGACTCGACAGCACGTAACAACAACAACAAGAGACACAGCTTTGGACAGGACATTGGGTTCTTCAGTGTGTGCACGCACATGTTGTTGTGGTCAGCTGCTGTCGGGTTGATTTCGACTCATGGTGGCCCCTGTGTGCAGGGAACCCCTGTGGGTTCTCTCGGCCGTAACCTTCCCAGAAGCACAGTGCTAGGGCTTTGCTCTGCAGCCCCACTGGGTGTGTTCGAACCGCCAACCTTTTGGCTGGTAGCTGAGCCCTTAACCTTTTGGCTGGTAGCTGAGCCCTTAACTATTGCGCCAGCAGGGCTCCTCCGTCAGGGGTTCTTTATGTTCCTCGGGCTGGCTGTGCACCAGGACCACCCGCCTCGCTTCTAAAACACGTGGCCTACCCAGGGCCCCTGCACTGGCATTGTGCATCTGAGTGCTGCTGGCCTGACCCCAGGCATCAGCAGCCTGACACCACAGGGCCTGGCGGGGCAGCAGAGCCTGGGGCTGCAG